TAACATAAGGACCTGCTTCTGGTATCTTTGTTTTAATGACTCCTGATCAACATTTGCAATAATCAGGTTCAGGCCTAACTCTGCTTTTGTTTAGACAGTGTAAGTTGAAGCTGAGGAAGTTATTTAGAACTTGTAGGCATGGATTGGAATTGTTGTTTTGATGATTAGCTTCTATTTTAGAATAAAAATGTAAAAATGCCATGTACGTTACATCAGGCAGCTTTTAAAATAATTTAGTTCTTCATGGGATGCTAAATTTCCCAAGCCCTTTCCTAACTTCCTCCCTTCCAAGTTGTGAATCCTCCCTATCCCTACCCCTTTCTCCAGAGAGTTGTGTCTGTCTTGTTGCCCTCGACACCCCGTTTGTTACTTTGTATTATTCCCTCCCCATTTTCCCTGATAGTCTCGCAAGCTATTTACCCCACCTTACACTTCTCCTTTACCTTATCCTCATTAGTTCACTTTCCTACATCCCTACTCCTGAGCTGCTGTATAAAAACTTCTGTTCACCCCCCTCGGCCCCAGTCTTGTCTGGGAGCCCAGGAATAATAAATCCATCTTGTTCCACCCCAAGAGCCGTGCCATCGCTGTGTGTCGCTGCCGGAGCTGCCGATAACTGGGATTGCAGCACTCGCAGGGCACAGCCGCGCCCTCGCCGCAGCCACCCAGCACGCCTCACGCTGCAACAATGGGATTGGAAAAACCTCTAGACATCTGTTTCAGTGGCAGGTAAATATTAATGTAATTCTGAAAATTCCGCAGAACACCTATGCATCTTTTATAATAACTTTCAGAGATGTCAAACTGAATTCCTGATGCAATCAAACAGTTCATGGAATCAGATAGTCTAGGTTTAGTTATTAATGTACACAGTTAAACTGTACCTATTTTGGACCTAACATTTAATTGCCTAGGAGAAATATTCCCCACCTCAACTCTTTTTTGACCAGGTCTCTTTGTATATTTTAATAGACCTCGACATCAGGCAAAGAGGTATCTGGAAAAGGAATGTGCAGGCTTAACATCATCTCAACCCCAGTCAGAAGTCACAGATGCTGTAGTTTAGTTCATATTCAATTTTTTTTTTTTTTTACCACACATTAGACATGGAAGGAAATGCAGCAGAGAGAAAATAACCCTCTGAAAAAAGGGAGAGTGGATTAAACTTCACCATCCATGAGCCACAGTGTCACCAAGGACCAGAGGCCTGCTAGATGCATCAGGAGGGATTTGAGTTTGGTGTTTTTACCAGTCCTCCATAATTTAATGCCGAGTGTCAAGTTAATAAGAAGGTCACAATGGCAAATTTTGCCTTTCAGGCACCTTGCAAGGACCACACACCTTGCCAGGCATTATTTTGTGCTGGTATAAATTCAGGTATTTCAGGCATGGGTGAAGGAAGGTGACAGGTACTGCCTGGCTGTGTCACGTGGTAACCAGGGAAGACTTTTGCTCTTAGCAGAGTGAAATCCCCCAGAGTTTGGGGGTTTCAACCCTTTCTAGTGCAGATGGAGGAAGCTGTTCCATGGATGAAAAACTGTAGATTAAGCATTTCTGTAGAAGCCACTGAATTTCAAAGATTTACAAAACCTCTGAGGCTGGGACAGAGAACAAAATGTTTCCATCTTTTCATTTTAAAAATGGATTTTATTTTGTCTAATTTCAATGCCTTTTACAGTTTACACTTTCAACAAAATTTCATTCAAGGAAAAGACAAACAAAATCCTACTGTGCTACCATTGTAATCCCACATGAACTAACTAACTGCAGCCAAGGGAACAAGAAAAAGAAAACACATTTTTTATGTCAACATGTAAACAGACGCCTTTTTGGAAGCAGTAATTGTTGGAAAAACCTTTGTGAAATACAGAAAACCTTAACATTTCTACTGATTAACTCAAAGTTCAGGGAAAAGAAATTCAAGCTCAAAAGCAGTGAAGCACTTGAGGATGGTGAAGGCTCCTGCTGGCTTTTGTAGGTAAACTGAGGTAGGGCTGTGTTTTGTTTTAGTTAAGCTGGAAGATGCAGCTTCTCCTTAGTCCATGTCCTGGCTTATGCAGCTCCACCAGAAATCCTGGCCAATGTGCTTGTCTTCACTGCAGAGGAAAGTCTGTCCAGAGGAAGTCTGCTTTGTCTTTCAGCTCCAGGTTGAATTTTTAAGGGCCTTTCACCTCTGGGCTCTGTGAGGCTCAGCTGCTAGGGTGATCCTGGCAGCCAGCTGTGAGTGCAGGGGGCAGAGGGAGCACTGCTGCTAAAGGGATGTGGCACAGGGGCAAGGTTCGCTTGCTGGGGAGTATTTGCTTCCAGTGGCAGAAAGGACGGCTGGATAAACAGGTATGAAATCAGAAAAGAAAAGCTTCCAGGAAGTGCATTAAATATTTAAGAAGGATGTTACCGTTAATAGCATTAAATGCATACTAAGGTTAAGAAGGCTGAGAAGCCAAGCTTTGTCTAAGATTCTTATGTTGTGCCTCTCACCTGTGCAGAGTCAGGGAGCACTGGCAGTTCTAGAAAGAGGCAAAAAACCCCTGAGTTTGCATTGGCAAAGAGAAGAGGTGCTTATTTTATGATTCATGACATTACTTCAGAATTGTGCTGACTTGAGCTGTTACAGTAACAGCACTCATCAGTAAGTGAAGCCTCTTGGGGAATGTGGGCAGGCTGTGACGTTCATCTCCCAGAAGGGGAAGCAAGTAGCAGGTGCACAAATATCTCCTCTGAAATGCCAAGGGCACTAGAAATCTTTACAGAACATCAAAAAGTTTTCTGTAACAGAGCCACACAACTATCAAATGACAGAAAAGCTCACAGGAATTGCCTGAATGAAGATTTAGCAAGTTGTCTACAGCATTTTAGCATGATGGGTTTTGAATTTCATTTCATATATTTTTTTTTCTAAGAGAAAATGTCACTGAAGAGGCAGAAGGCTGTCTTCTAGCTCTCACAATCATTTTCAGTAGTCATTGCTCATTTACATGAGCAGGGAAGAACAAGAAACAAAAAGAAAGTGACAACAGGTGTCCCCTCTTGATGCAGCAGAAGTTTCCCATGCTCCCAGTGCTGCCCATTTCGGAGCCTATAGGGAGAGCACAGCCTAGGAACCAAATTCTACCATGAACAATATTGCTACCACTCATTCTGATTTTATTCTTTCTCCTTCAAAGTATCAAAATAAACTTACAAATTGTCATCCAAAACTTATGATCTGCCCCTCAAATTGCCCTCAGAGTAATGGAAACAAAGTTTTGTAGCAGTTTGCTACGTGGACTGGAATTGATGAGAGCCTACAGATCAACAGGACTGCAACCTACCTCAACTCAGTGATTCCAAATTCCTTGTAGGGAGACAGACCTGGAAAACCACTACTCCCACGGATGTTCATTCGCCCACACAGATGTTTCAAAGTTCAGGTGTGAAAAGGGTGCAATTTCCTCTGCTGAAGTGTGCTTCTGTCTCCAAACTGATGGTCCTTGCTTTGCTGAAGACAGTCAGTCTCTGGCTGTGCCTACAAGTCATGTCCTTGACTTTGGGGCATGGGCATGCTGGCTGTCTTTTAGGAATTGAACTCTGCTGAAAAATGAGACACCTGTAGGCATTGGTTTCTTTATACACAAATTAAGCAGCAGGATTGTCAGTCCATTCCCACAGAAACGACCCTTAAACCCTTTTCCAACCCATTTCACTCCAGCTGTTCTTCCAAGAAGCCAGTGCTTGGCTTGTCAGCTGTTTCTGCACTTACCTCCATGCTGGCACAGGTTCAGAGGTGGAAATCACCATCATCCATGGAAGAGTCCTAGTCCCAGTGTGATCCCTGCTTCCTGGAACAAGTTACAGCAAACACCAAGACAGCTACCCTGGATCCATGGACATGTTACCACGGCACTTTCTGAGCTGCCATTCTCCCTACCTCAAACATGAGTTTGTTGTTTTGGGATAACACTACAGACCAAGAAAGGGGTCGTTCTGCTTTGATAGAACTTCATCCTCTTCCACAGGTGAAAAATGCAGGCTAACAGTATCTTCCACTCTCCATTTCAAGCTGAGTACTTGGCACTTTCGCTTTCATTCTGGTAGATCCAGAACAGCTTTTCTGCAGTAAGAAAAAGCAGTTCAGTGCCGGGACAAATAAGATTTTACATGTCGCCTGATGGAGAACTGGCTGACATCCAGCATGTTAAAGCTGCCCTTTGTGAAACTCTCATCTGTTCTCCCTGCCCTTCTCTAGCCCAGCACCAAGAGCCATGGGACCTGGCCAGGGTCTGCTGCCCTGCGACTCTGGAGTCAGGCTGAGTGTACACTGCCAGCAAACCAAGGTGGGGGAAAACAAGCAAGTGGTTACTGTGACGGCCACTGATTGCAGGATTATATATCCGTGGCATCGTTGGGATCATCAGTTTTGCGCAGAAGCCAGCACAGAGCACGCACTGAATTGCTCGTCGCACGCTCAGCCCAGGCGGGTCTCACCTGGGGAATGCGGAGCAGAGACCGCCCAGAGAGCGGCGCGGGTCCCGCGGGGCGGGCCGTGCCGTGCCGTGCCGTGCCGTGCCGTGCCGGGCCGCGCGGCGCTGCGGGCCGCCGCCGCCAGGGGCCGCCGCTGGGGCTCCCCGGTGCTGGGAGGCGCCGGCGGGGCCGCCCCGTGCTCGCCTCGCCGCGGCATCTCCCGCCGGGGCCGCGGGCAGGGGGATGCGCGGCCGGGCGGCGCGGGCACAGCTCCGCCGCCGGGGCCAGCGTCCCCCCAGGGGCAGCGGCGGCCGCGGCCGCCCACACCTGGCGGCGGCCCTGGGAGCCGGATCGGGCCGAAGCGGAGGTACGCGCCGCCCCGGGCGCGGGAGGGGGGCTGGCCGCAGCGGGAAGGCAGGGCCGGGCCGCCGGAGGCCGCTGCGTCCCGGTTCTCCCCGGGGACACGGCCCGCGCCCCTTCTGGCCGCGCCCGATGGAGCCGGGGATAGGTGGCCGCAAAGACGTCACGGCGGCAGGGTTGCCTCAGGTGATCGCACCCGTGCCATTTCACCGGGCACCGCGGACGAGGGTGTGCCCGGGAATGGAATTTGACCCTCTGACGCACCCTGGATCGATTAAATCATTCCACCGAGTCCCTGAGCTTTCGCTCCTCATCGCCAGAGGTACAAAGTGCCCGCAAGGTTTGCCCCCCCAAGGGAGGGTACGGCTGGTGCTCTCCGGGAGGAGTTGGCAGGGATGGTGTAAGCCCGCCGGCCACACGCAAATCCTACCGCTGTGCGAACTGCGAGACAGCGGCGGGCTGAGCTGGAGCAGGAGGAGTTAGTCAGGGGCTGAGTCACGATTAGGTTTGCCCGCGGTAAGCCTGGCTTTTCCTGTTTGCCTGTGATCTACCGGCTGCCGGGTGTTCCGATTTAACCTCCTTTTACTTTTTTTTTTTTTTTTTTTTTTTTTTTTTTTTTTTTTTTTTTTTTTTTTTTTTTTTTTTTTTTTTTTTTTTTTTTTTTTTTTGCCAGGGATGACATCTAAGGATGCTTCAGGTAAAGCTAATAGTAACTGGAGATGACTTCGGCTATTGCCCTCGGAGAAACCAAGGCATCGTCGACTGTTTCCTGGCTGGTGCGGTATCTAATGTGTCCCTTCTAGTCAACGGAAGTGCTGCAGCAGATGCAGCCAAGCTAGCAAGGAGGTAAGCTACTCTCTTTACCTCCTTTGTGGACATCCTCCAGAGAAAACCAAGCCTGGGAAATTTAGTATTTTGTAGCCCCAGAATAAAGACTGTATCATAGCTCAGGCTGTTATGAGAAAACTGTATTCAGACACATTTACTATGACTCTTCATAGTAAAATTAGTGATCTGCTAACTAATATCAGTAATGGTCTTTCTCTAGTATTGGCCACTGCACCTTTTCCCCCCCCCCTCAGGATAGGAAGCCATTTCCACTATTTGACTAGTAGAACTTGGGTTTCTCAGACTTTCTCCTTCCACACTTCTAAAAATGCATAATCAGAAGGAAAGTGCACATTATATACTCAGACCAGTCTGCTACCCCTAAAAGTATATGAGCATAAAACCAGAAGTCTTTAAAGCTCATTTAATCGATCCATTTCACCTAGGTTGAACACAAGGTCAGCCAGACTCATTGCAGAATTAGGCAAAGGTGTGATTCTGCAAAGGCTTATTTATAAAACTTAGCAGTGGAAAACCTGACTTTTTCTCCACCCTGTAAACCTTTTTATAAAAGCACATCAATATTTCTATTAATTCTAGGCTTGATAAACATATCTGTAAAAATGCATACATAAAGAAAGGGACAATACCTTGTACCTACCACCTTCACTTCTTCACTAACTTCAGAGGCTGCTGGCACAGTTAGCTCTGCAGTGGATCAAATGCTATGTGTCAGTCTCATAGTCTAGTCCAGCAAATCCTTTAATAGGAAGCATTATTTGTGTTTAGGAGGTAAAACTCAGCTAATCCTTCAGCTCTGGTGTGGGCAGGTGCTTGGAAGCAGAAATATGTCCTGAAAGAGAGAACATCAGGGTTGAGAAACAATGTAGGAAAGCAGAAAATGAAAGGAGCTGTATTGCTATTAAATAAACTGAGACCTTATGCTTCAAATGCAGCTGCTGTGGGGAAGAGTTTTGTGGGAGTCCTGCTGACCTTGTTCTCACTGAGCATCCATCCTCAATTTGCTGTGATTTTAGGGGTACTTGCAAATTGCTTGTAGCTTCTTTGGAGCAGGGTGGTGGAAGATTGCCATGTTAGTGGCAATCTGGTCTGTAAAAAGGTTAGAGATTCCCCACAAACATCAAGGGAGGAACTGTCAGGGAATGAGAAGGGGGAGAGGCATGACACCAGCAAGGTCCTAAAATCCTATTAGTAAATGAAACATAAAGCACAGAGATAAAACCAGCACATCCCTCAGACACAGAGGCACTGTGAAACCCTTTAAGCCCCAGTGGTCTGGTAATATTGTCAGCTATTTTAGCCATGGTCTTTAGCAGGCTTTTAAAATAGAATCCACCTGGCCTCATTTCTATTGCCAGGAAGTAGGCCATGTAATCAGGGGTTTAAAAATCATCTTTGAATCCAGGTCATGACACTGGTGCTGGCAGCTGATATGGGTGTGAAAAGCCAGGTTAGAGGGCAGGGGACCACAGAGGCTGCAGCCTGCTGCTACAATTAGATTATTTGATTTTGGCAGGGTGGGGGGGTGGGGAATGGGCATGGGGGAAATGTAATTTTGAATTGTCAGTGTGAATGAAATTGATTTAAATCTGTTTCTGAGCATATAAGCAGGGTGACTTTGGGAACATCTGCCAGCTCTGAAGATCAACAGTACAGGTTCTACAGTTCCTCATTTGTGTAACTGCAGGTATATTCAGCTCTACCCAGCCATGGCAGGAGCATTAGTAGGTGTGGAGAAGAGGTTTCCTCACTGTAATGGAAACCCAGCTTCAGCTGCTGTTAATTGGCACCTGTGTGTGTAAACAAACCCCTGTGTCACCCCTGAGATGTTTGTTCATGTTACAAAGGCTGATGCAAACTCTTTCTACACAGATGACAAATAGGTCAGACTTGCTAGAAATGTCATTGAGTCCTCCTCATCCTGCAGTGCAGAAATGGGAAAGTATCACTTGCTTGACTGCTTGTCAATATTATTCCATCTTTCCCCTTCTTGGTGACATCTCCCATCCCACCATAAATATTGAGGCTTTTTATTTTATGGGATGAAAGTCTGCCTGTTGTTTTTTTTTTCTCCTCATGTTTGTCTTCCCCTATTCAGCCTTGACCAGTGGCATAAGCAGGAAGAGTGGATCTACCCCCAGCTGAGAGAAGAGGCTTAAAGCAAGTAGCTTGTCCTTTCCTGAGGCACATTCCAGTGCTGTGGAATTTGGTCTTTCACACACATGGTGCCAGGATTGTCAGAGTGATGGACTGCTTTTATGACTTCTTGATAAACTATTGCATGATTGCTTGTAACTGCAAATCTTAAACTCTCACTCCTCACCTGGTTTTAAGCTAATTGGACACAGGCAGAGCTAATTAATAAGTAGACAACTTTTCCTTCCTAAGGCACCTCATGCTGCCCTACAATGTTAGGGCTTTGCATCCTTCAGAAAGGAACACAGTTCCTCTGAAATTTCTTTCTTCCTTTCATTTTCACAATAATTCTGTGGTTTCTGGGTATACCATCTGTTGCCCCGAGCCTTGATTAAAAGCCTTGGTAGACATGTGATGATAGTCAGCAGATCTTTGTATCAGCTCTAACACAAGCCAACTGCAGAACAGCAGAACTAAGCAGTAAAGAATACACCTTCCTTTACATTCAGGCTCAGCACCTTGGGCTTTCCACTGTCACAACTGGGCTGAAAGAAGGGGCACACTCATTTCTGGCAACAGAGAAGTTTCAGCAGAGGCCTGATTCATCACCAAATGACAAACCTATTGATACCATCTGCCAGAGCAGAACATAACCAGAGCAGCAGGTGGGAGAACAGACTGCCATTGTGGGTTGAGGGTTTTTTCAGTAACTCAAAACTTTCCTCTTTATGGGGCCTTGACTGACTGTGATTTCCTGCTTATCCATATAATATAATCTCAATTTTCTACTTAACAGGCCCTGCCTTGAAGTCAGCCAGACTTCCTGGTGATTATTCCAGAGCCTTTCCCAGAAACTGGAAGGCTTGTTTTGTAACCTGAAATGAAGACACGCCTTAATTTTTCCTTAGAAGTATGGAGATAGAAATAGATACCTAACAGTTTGCTGCTGTATTCCCCTCCCCTTTACATCAAACAGTTCAGGTGTCACTGAGCCTTAGGACCTGTTTTCATTTGTGTCCAAATAGCTTATGAAGATTGACATATTTTAGAACAACAATCTCAGTCTTCCTGGGTGTTTTCTTAAAATTTAGTACTGAACATCAGCTAAAGCCCCCAGAACGTCTGGGTACATGTAACAGAAGAATCTAACAAAGCCACATTTAATCACTCCATGTTTTCACTTCCTTTCCCATCAGGACTAATTGCAAATTGTGTGTGTAAATTGTGACTTAATTCTGACCCTCCCAGTTAACATCTGACTCATCTAGAAATCCCTCATGCTTTCTCATCAACCCTTGTATGTGACTGTTAATCACACAACAGACAGTTCCTCTGCTGAACTGTCTGGATAGGGGTGGGACCCAGTCTGAAGCCTTACACTAGAATCCCAGATCATATTGACTTCACTGGCAACAGCCCATTTTACTGATGTAAGGCTACAGTCACAGGAGCTGCACTTGATACAAAGATGTAATTACAACAGAAACTCAGGTCCCTAAGCTATGTTACAGCATCAGCTCTCAACACTGCAAAGGCTTTAGAGCATTTCTGGCAGAAGAAAAAGTTTCTAGCAGTAATAGAGCAAAAAAAATATGCTATTTGATGACAGATATTACTGAATGGTGAAAGCGTGTGTGAGGAGCACAAATGCCAACATGAGGAAACTAAGAAGTGCACGTTTTTACTCAAAGCCTTGCTTTGTCTGGCTTCAGACACTTGGGTGTTCACTGGAGTGGGATGTTCAGATACAGATATTTACATGAGGCTCTGACTTGGGTCACACTTGGGCTGAAACCTGATGATCAGCAGTTTCCTGAGTGATACAAATAGGTTGTTGAAGGTGGGATCTGTTTGCCCATTAAGGGAAAGGGGTGAAGTGCCATGCTTATGTGGTGCCAGAGCATCCAGCCTTCAGCAAGGCAGTTGGAACAGTGCTTGGCAAATCTCATCATTCTCACAGCCATTGCAACTGTCCTGTGGCATGGGCAGGCAGGACCCAGGACACTGTCACTCACACCAACCACAGAGTGACTCAGTGCAGTTCCCATCTCCAGGGTCAGTGCACAGGGATTGCAGCTGCACATTGCCTCAGCAGAGACATTTATTCAGAGCACTCATGTGGCAAAACAAGCAACTACTTGAAAAGGAAGCAGTTTAAGCAGTTTAACTGATTGTATTTCCTCTCTGATAACTGGACTAGGCCTGCTGACTCAGAAATCTTTCCATGGTGAATTCCTTTTAGCACATGCTGTAAGGATAGTTCCTCCTGCACAAGCCTCTCCTTTTTAACCCCCACCTCTACAGGGAATGCTGAGAAGAGAGCCACAGAGGTAACAGGCAACTTTCAGTGCAAACAGCTCACTAGGGCATTGACCTCAGTGGCCTGAACCTCTTCTCCACAAGTTCCCAAGCAGCTCAGTCTAATATTGCTCCTGCTGTAGGAGCACTTACCTGTAGCCAATGTCCTGTGACTATCAGGAGTGAAGTGAACCCCTGTGCTAAGTCCTGTTTCATCTCTGCATTCCCTGGGGCACTGGGACAGACTTGCAAACACAGAGGGGCCTCTCCAAATAGACTGGTAGGGTCATTGCGATTTAAAAGAGTCACCAAAAAGGATTTAGGAACACCGAGTAGATTCTTCACATCATTTTGTTTTCGCAATGGTAGCTGTGTGCAGAAACTAACCTGTTGCCTGAAGCCCAATACCAACCTTTTTTTTTTTTTTTTTTTTTTTTTTTTTTTAATCTTGTGTGAGCAATTAGCAGTTAATGATCAGCAGTGACCAGCAGGGCCCACCCTGTCCCATCTGGAAATGGCTTGGGCAGAGCTGCTGGTCTCTGTTTCAGTATTTCAGCCATCAAAATGGCTATTTTACAGTCTTTTGAAAGATGTGGGCAACTGCAAAGTGTATTTCTGTAGCAGAAACAATCATACGTGTTCTGAAACGTGGGCCCTCTCAGGTTACTCCTGCACCTTGACTTTTCTCCCTGTGAGCTTGCAGTAGCACTCTGCTGTGCCTACTGATCTGCCCTTCTCCCTCTATCCTTACAGCCTTCCCAGCATGCCTTCTTCTGTGCACCTCCCACACGAGTGTTTCTGAACAAGTTTCTCATGTGCAGCTTTTTGAGTTTTGCTTTCAGTGCCTCTATCCCAGAGCCATTAAACACACGCAGTTCCTCTCCAGACACCTCAGCATGCTCAGTCTGTCAAACCAGGACTGACTCCACGATAAAACTATTAAGATATTCAGCTGGTGTTAGGCAAAGCTCTGAAACACGCTCTAATGTTACAGTCAGGGTCTCCTCTTACCTGAGGACAAGGCCAGCTCTCTCTGCACTTCCACATTCTGCACATTCCCCAGCTCTGGGGCTGGGTTTGGCTCTGGCCAGGGGCTGCTCTCAAGTTTCTCAGTGCAGCCCTTGGCTCCTTGGTGTCCCACACCTGTCAGAGGGACTTGCCTTCTCCTGGAAATAGCCCCTCTCACAGCATTTGAGGCACTGCACAATGGAGGCAGTTCATTTGATGCTCCTGGGAGACAACACTGAGAGGCTCAGCTGTTCATTTCTTGCCCTCCCACAACACATGAGAAAGAGAGTACTCAACAGAAAAAGTCCATCTGCTGATTCATGGTAACACAGGAATCCTTTTTTTCTTGCAAACAGCAGTGGGCTGTGGTACAAATAATACTCCAGCTGAGGCAGTAAGAACTTCCCAGAGACAAGAATCTGGGGTGGACTTCTAAAAGAAAACCAAAATAAAACCGCAGGCTTCCCCTCTGCCTTTGGGGTTGTGCAGGGTGCCCAGCTGGCCACAGGATGGAGGGGAAGCCCTCCTGCCACAGCAGCCCTTCTGCACTGTAGCTGCCCGTCACCCCCAGTGACACAATTTCACTTCTTGTATTAGCCAGGAGTTGCTGTGCACATGTGCTCAGACCCCTGCTATGATGAACATTTATCATCAGTGAAACAATGGGGCCCTGCTGCACAGAAAGCACCAGATCAGAGAGGCCAAAGAGGACCTTTTTCTCCACAAGCTGTTCTGCTCCATTAAACAAACATTCAAGCTCCTTAATCACACAAAGGACTAATTTTGTTGCATACAATCTGACTCCTAACATTTATGTCTTGAGAAGTAGTATCTAGCAACTGACTGCACCATCTACCTGGATCACAAGACATGGGAAGAGCCAGGAAAAATGATTTTTCAGTCCTTCAAGGGACAAAATGAGCTAAATGACTCTGTCCAGTCATGGTCCAGTCCCATCCACAGTCCTGTCTCCAGTGAGCTGGTGCTTCACCAGTCAGCTTCAGATATTAGACAAGGGGAAGATCTCGGTTTTGCACCCTTTGCCTCAATGGAGATTGTTTTTGTTTTCCTTGTGGTACACGGGCTGTACCAGGGACACACCACACCCACTTTTAATAGCTCCATGCAGAGGTTCCAAGGATTTAAAACATCACAGACTTGCCTTGAAATTCACTCTGCACCATGACTCAGACTGGGCAGCACAGATGGAACATTGCAGTTCTGTCATCCACTCACTGGGTCAGCCAGAGGCCACGGGTTGTCTTGGAAAAAGTTTCAAAGCATCATTTTGGCTACTGATTCTGAGGATTTCCAGAAATGCTAATGAGACCAGCACAAATCCAAGCATGCACAAGTCCTGTTCTCATCATAGGGGAATCCACAGCACAGACCAAGAAGGAAACGCCAGCACTCTGCTAAGCCCTGAGGGGAGCTCTGCAGCCACACCAGCTCCGTAGTTTTTTTTTTTTTTTTTTTTTTTTTTTTTTTTTTTTAAGAATGTTACAGCAACTTAAAATGTGCAACTGGGTAATCAATTATACCCCTTGGACTCCTTAGCAAGGCTCTACACTTCACTGAGGGCCTCCTTGCACTAATCCTTCTTTGGCTGTGCTAGGGAGATGCTGCTCTGTACAGCTCATCTTTGCCACTCACTGAGTGATTGTTGCAGTAGACAGAAACCTGGCCACTGCAGGCAATTCCAGCTGCAGCTCCTTGTATTTCCACCTGTAGCCTGTGCTGTTGCCATAACAGCTTCCTTAGCACTGTTTATATATAAATTACTGGATTCTACTTAAGGGCAGCTTTAGGAGACTTCAAGTAAAACTCGAATGTCTCATAAATGTACCATCTTTAACAGGGTGAACAGCTCAAGGGGATACCTAGCAAGGGCTAAGGGAGCACTTTAGAAAAAGCTGCAAGATCTGGATTTTTCAGTTGGTTATCAGTGACTGCAGTTCCTGGAGTGCAGTCACAGCATTTAGCCCAAGATACCTTGTGCAGTGAGCCAGGATGGGGGCAGGGTTTGGGGGCACTCACAGGCTGGCCCTGGGTAGAGTGCTCAGGGTTGTTACCTGCAGATGTCCTGCTCTGGTTGGGGTCACTCTGTCATCCTTTCTGGCAGAGATACAAAGATGTACTCCGGTGAGCACTGCAACACCTCCAAGATCAGTGTGGTTCTTACTGTTTAATCTCCCCCTCTTTGACCACAGTGAGGGAGGTGCAAAGTTTGGCTGACATTTCACTCTCTTACAGATATAATATCCCAATAGGCCTGCATGCCAACCTCTCTGAGGGCTCTCCTGTATGTGAGGTGCTCAAGACAAACTCTTCTCTGCTCAACCAAGATGGATTCTTCCATGGAAAAATGGGATTCAGAACAGCTCTATCAAAAGGTCTCCTGAATATGTCAGAGGTAGGAGAAGGCCACATGCAGCTGTACAACTTGCCTTTCTGATGCAAATCAGCCTGCATTTATCCCAGCACATAACAGCTGAGGACCTTTCCCAGATCTCCGCTGTGAGTAGGCTTAGGGATGAACTCTGCCTGTGCAGCCTGAGCTGGCTTTTAGGTCCTGGGCCTCATTCTGCCAAAGGCTCTGCAGCCTCTGGGAATCCATTCCTCCCTGATTCAGTGCCTGTATACACTGTTAACTATCTGAGGAGGTAGAGGGGGCATTGGAACAGGTATTTACAAAGAACCTAGAGATCAGTAAAGAGCAAATGACAGAAAAGTCCTAAGTAGGTACCAGGCTTTTGATCAGCTTATGAGAAGTTTTGGTTCTCTAAGGAGATGACTGGTTACGCCCCATGACCAAGGTTGAACATGTTCAGGTGATCAAAACTGCATCCATTTTAAACAGAAATGGGTGTTCAAATATCCTGTGTAGGTAGAGCATCCCCATCAGCACCGTCCCCATAAGCAGAACCACAAAGAGCCCCGTGCCCAAGGGAGGCTCTGGGTAGCCCAGCAGTGCTGCACATCCCTGTACAACCACAGCACCTGCTGCTCCCCTGAGCTAGGTCCTGACTCCTGCCCAGTGAGGTCCCAGCAGCCCCATCACTCCCCTGCTCTCAGCCTCTGCCAGGTCTTGCTCTGACCCTTTTCTGCTTCACAGGTGAAGCAGGAGCTAAAGGCCCAGGTGGAGCTGTTCCATGAGCTGACAGGTCACCTACCTCCTCACATGGATGGGCACCAGCATGTCCATGTTCTCCCAGGTAAGAAGGAAATCTCCTTCCCAGCACCAAGCAGGTAAGAGACAGCTCAGAGGGGACTCTCCCTGCCACAGCTCCCTGTATGGGCAATAAGCCCCACCACAAGACACCGCAGGCAGTTGCAGTTTGAATGTTCCCACCTGACCCCACAGTCCTGCCCAGACCCAAACTCTGCTTGGAGGCCTGGGCCTTCCCATAGCAGCACCAGGGCATTAAGGACACAAATGGCCAAGGTTACACCTCTTCCTCCAAGGACCAATAATTCTCCTCAGCATCCTAATTCCATGTTCTCACCCACACTGAAGGAGGCAGACCAAAGCCAGCAGCAGGCTGGCCAGTTTAAACTGGAATGATGGAGCTTGGCAATAGCTGGTGACTCTTTCAGATGCTACAAGAACTCCATCCTGTCCACTGTGTTCTCACCCCAGTCCTCTCCTGCAGGTCTCAGCTTTAGAGATGAGCAAGGATCTTTTGTCCTTGTTTTGCAAATAAAGTCATTGTGGCACACAGATGGAAAATGGAGTGAGAAAAGAATCCAAGTTTTCCCACTCCAGTACTAACTGCCTCCAGATAACATTGCTCTGGCTGTACAAGGACTTGAGGAAGAATTTTTTCCTGACAGTGCAGTCACCTGTGGTGCACTCTTAACACCAGAGTCATTCACTTAGACTAAAGGCTGCTGGAAGGAAGGATGACAAGGCACCTACAGCAGAAGTTCAGGGAGAAATGTTCCAGTATAAAAGGTAACTCCCATGCAGATGGATTTCAGCAGAAGATAAATCAAATGAAATTTTATTTTCTTCAACACAGAAAGGAAAGAAGCCTCTGTGCTAACAGCTTGCAGGGGACACGAGAAGCTGGTTGTCCAACTCCTGACTGCAGTCTCTGGTTTTACTTGCAGAGGTCAGACATGTATTTGCAGAGGTGTTAGAGGAATATGGGATTAAGTACACACGTGTCCCCATAGAGCCAGGCCTCCATAACTGTGACTGGATTCCACCATCCCTGATGGACTTTTACCTGGGAGTAGAAGAAGATTCTTTTAACACAGTGGATGTGTTTACAAAGCATGGAATAAGGTAAGACAGGTATTACTCATCCTTTTTTGTAGTAAAACATTAAGATTGTATCAGTGTCTGATAGTATCTTTCAAAAATGGAACACCATCTTTCTCTTTTCTCTTTCGATTTAGAGAAAGGTTCAGGAGGAGCACGAAAGTGCCAGGAGCACAGTGGCTTAGGAAGTTTTGTTTGAATAGAGATGAGTCACTTTCCATTTGAAAAGGAATGTTCTTTTCAGGGTATGCTTTTCAGCCTTTCTAGTAAAGCTGCATCAGCCTGGCATCTGGAATGCCAGGAGAAATGCTGCATCAATGCTGGAATTTTAAAAGTATTATCTAAGGAAAGCTTTCAAGAAATAATTTTTCATCTTCCTGTCCTAGTAAAGGGTTTTAAGCAGCAGGAATGAGACTAACAGGAATGAGACTAATTAGAAGCAGGTATTTGTTAAGGGGAAGCAATAAGCTCTGAGAGCTGGTAGTACCATAGCTGTAAGCAAACAGCCTTGTCAGTGTCCTGCATCTCAGGGGCCAAACCCTGAAAGCTCATCCCTTCCCCCAGTAAAATCCTTCTCTTAAAAGCTTAGACAATGTTTTATGGGTTAAAGGCCTTTCACTAGAGACCCTTGCAGTCACCTGTTCTTTGGGGCTGATGCCATTACTTCCTCAGTCCACTGGAAACATTATCTTCTGGGATTTTTTTTTTGTTTTGTTTGTATCAGTGGTTCTGAACACCAGCAGCAGGCTGGTATTTCTCCCTTCCCAATAAGAGCTGAGCTGGGCTCTTCTGTGATTATTCAGTTAAAGAGTCCAGCCTTGATTTCTTCTGAAAACATTTTCATTCTGCCCTCGCATGCAGTGGCTCAGCTCTCCTGGACTCGTCCAGGTCACACTTAAAACTGACACTTGCAGCCAGACTTGAACAAAGAATTGTGTGAAGCTAAGAAACTGCTTGTTTGTGGTGTTCTTTAGGAGTAGCATTTTGTCCAGTTATTATTATGGGACTCTTTAATATATTCTGGCAGAAGGCTTCTTTAGCTGGGTGGTTGCCATTTTATTTCAGTCACTTTTGTTTCTACTTAGCTGAGGGTTATTATTCAGGCTTAATTTATTTTGATAGTGTGGCATTTCTCAGTTTAGCACTGCTTTTTCCTTTTGGGACAATAAAATGCACCTGTAAGCTCACAAATGCCCAACACCCGTTGTGCTGTCACACAGTGCTGGGGCTGTGCTGGGCCTTCCTGTCCCTGCAGAACTGCTGCTTGAAGTAGGATCCTGCTTTTAATCAGGAAAAGTTCTGGTTTTACTTTTGTTTACAGTTAAAAGTTTTTTAAAACTCCTCCTAATTTTCTATCTTAAATTTTAGGTAAATTTTGATTCCTAATCCACTGGATGTAACACAATTCTCTACCTGCCTCTTTAGCATTAACAGCAGTGTTCCCTCCTCTGGCTGCAGGTGGCCAGACATTTACATAGGCCTGAGCACCATGGGCAGGAACATGTCTGTCAGCAGCATCCGCAGCGCCATCGACAGCGCCGTGCTGCAGCTCAGGGCCAAGGCAGCGCAGAGCGGCACGGTGACCATCGAGCTGATGGTGCACCCGGGCTACCCCAGCGTCCCACCCGTCGGTGGCTGTGGGGAAGGACCAGATGATTTCTCACAGTCCTGGGAACGCCTCCATGAACTCCAGACGTTAATGAAGCCAGAGCTGCAGAGCCATTACAAAAGCAGGAATATTCAGCTGTGCTCATTCAAAGATCTTTAAATAAATGAGCAGGCATTCATGCATCCATTCTCTGAAGACACTGATGTCCAGAGAAGCCAGATCACTGTTACCAGTGTCACAGGCTCTGGTACAGCTCACAGGAGCTGTGAACAGCCTGGGAATGGACACCACCACCCTGTGAGCAGCTCCAGGCAGTACCCCAGAGCCCCAGCTGCCAGTTTTAAGGCCACAACATCTGCTCAAAATGTGCCAAACTCCTGTGACACCTCCTGCACAGTGCTCCAGTGCAGCACACACTCCCAGGGCTCAGTTCCTGCCAGCAAAGGAGCAGCACAGGCACAGACTTGGCTGTGAGACACCGCAGCACAGCACACAGCACCCGGAGGGGCCTGATCATTTCTCCTTTCAGACTTGATAGCAAAACAAGAACCCTGCTGGGGAGCGGATGCTGCTTTGAAGCACCCACTCAGTGTAGGCCACCCACAGGAGACCCGGACCTTCAGCATTTGGTTCTCTGAAAGCAGCCAGTCCCTGCCCCTCCACTCGTACCTGCTCACCGGCAGTGAGGGCTGCAGGGACGCGTCAACCTCAGAGCCTTCCTCTGGTCGGAGCAGTCGGGTCACACGTGGCCCCGTGGGGTCTGCAGCCACCTCAGCCGGCAGGAATTGTCTCTGCCTGTTTACGTTGCCTCTTGGTGTTAAGCCCCGCCTAGGAAAGTAACATCAGCTGTAGCCCTTTAAGGAGAGGCCTCTTATTTTTGGGATGACTTTGCAGGAGCAGCGACTGTTGATCCATCTGCTATTTCAGTAACTGCTGTGTATGAGAGCAGCAGCAGCTGGTCCTGCACCGCCCACTGCCCCTCAGGACAACCATGAGCATGGCTGCGAGTGGAGAATGTCCCTGTATTTGTCCCTTTTATTCCTGTCACCAGAGCATTCGAACTCCAACAAGCCCCAGTAGTGCTGATAGGTTCTTAACTGCAGCCCTGTCATTCCTGTAAGGACTTTCACATGGGGAAAAAATATTGTAGATTGTTTATACTCAATTCTCTGCACAAGAGTGATCTATTTAACATAATTGGTTTTGTTAACAATATTTTTTAATATAAAATCATCATTATTCTTTTAAATAAAAAATAAACTCAGACCTTTTCTATTGCAAGGCTTCAGGAGGCTTTCAGGTTTAATTACACCTCGTGAGTGAATTAAGCCCACTCACCTGTCTGCTCTCACACCGCTGGAGGGGCCTCCCTCTCTATCATTAATGGGAACTGTCCGACCTTTCCTATAACACATAAGAAGTTTTTGTCCTGTACAAGTAGGAAAGCCATCGAGGATGCTGTAGAAGGTATTTCCCCCGATTCTTTCCTATATTATAGAAAACGCCTTAGCTGTCTGCCGGGGCCGGGTGAGAGCAGGGCAGGCGTTTCCCTGCGGTGCCCCGGCCCCGAAGCCGCTCCCGGCGCTGCTGCCGGGGGGCGCCGGGACGGAGCCGCGCCCCGAGCGCTCGCACCGGGCAGCGCCGCCCCGTGCCCGCCGGGCCGCACTGCAGCCGCTGCCGGAGCGCGGTCCGCCGGTACGGAACCGTCACCGAGCCTCACGGACACCTTTAAACCTTACTGTGAACGTTTAAACTGCTCCGTGTTCCAAGCGCTGGATTGGCTCTGATCGCACCCGAGATCATCAGGACGTTACACACCTGTGGAATTTTGCATGCATTTCCTCGCAGCTGAGCACTGAAGACCTGAGGGCAGCTTTTACCCAAGCACTGTACTGTGAAAAATGGATTTTGTAAATTCATTATTTTTAAATGAAGAGCATTAAACCCCAAATTTACGTTTAATTAAAAAAAATTAATAATGAACTACTAAAAGACTACTCAATAGGGAATTTTCAATTGCATAAAATATAGGGAGATAAGAAAATTTCTGAGTCCAAGTTGAAATTACAACACTACTACAATCCCAGTTAATTCCCAGACCTCTGTGAAAATAAAACCATGCCACAAAGCCTTTGAGAGCAATTTTTATTAGGGTAGCAGAATGGACTTGCAGAAAGCCTATACCAGTACTCCTGGGTGTAGTTTCACCAGTGTGCTGCTTTCATTGTGGATGTTCAACTGCACGTTTAAAATTCAGCATGGCTTAGGGAACCAGAGAGAACAAGAGCTTGATTTCCTGAGTTATCATAGGACTTCGTACTTGGATTTCTCCTCCTCAGCCTTCAGCCACACAGGTGCCGGATCCCTTTGTTCAGAGGCTGCCCCAGACACGCGCCAGCACTTTGTTTACACGTCTCACAGTTTAGCAATTGGACTATGAAGAACACACCAAGAGAACTGATAGCGAGATCTGTCTTCGTGTGACCTCGGCAGCTGGATGGGAGCGGCTGTGCGGCCCAGCCGGAGCTCCTGCGGCGGCGCAGCCCGTCCGTCCCGTCCCGCCGCGTCCCATCACAGCCAGGCAGGCAGGCGCAGTCTTTGACCTGAGAGGCTGTACAACCACAGAGTAACTACTGAGTAGCGACGAGGGCAGCAAACTAGTGCTACAGTTTCGTTTCAAATAAAATTCAGAGAATGGTAAGTTTCCATGCCGACAGACATGATCAAAGATACAGTGACTCAGGTGATGCAGAAGTTACACACTTCAGTTTGACAGATAATTTGGCATTATTTTATTATGAATCTGAGTGAGTGTAAATGAAACAAAATCAGTACCAACTTTCTGCAAATGAAGACACAAAGATGTGAAAATTTGGTAATAGTGCTCTCACAAGCCTGAAAACACTTAGGAAATGCAAGTTTCCGTAAATAAGGTGAATGTGGTTTAACTTTATTTACCTGCCAAAGAATCTGTCTAAGAACACTTAAACATAAAATTTCTTAGCTCCCTAACTCATAAAAAAATTTACTTTCAACAGAGGTGAGGTACTGGGCTGTCATTGTTTACACTAAATTGGAAATGAAAGCCACAGGAGAGGGATGAATAAGGAAATAGCAAATACACAAGACATTAAAACCAAGAGAGATCTACTGCTTGACACACTAGTTCTGAAAGGTTGCAAAGGCAGAGGCTGTATTAAAACTGAATTTAGGAGTACAGGCAACCACCTAGGTGTCAGGGTTTTTTCAGCTCAGCTTCCCGCACATGGAAATGATATGTGCTCAGAGATACCGATGGATTTCTGGAAATAATCCATTCACTCAGTAGCAGACCCCAGCTGCAGAAGGGGAGACAGCAGGTTGACTGTGTGGCAGTTTGATAAAGAGTGGAGCTAGGATCATGCTCCAGGCTGAGGAGGAAAGGCAGCAGAAGCAGCAGAGACACAGCAAAGGCTGCTCAGCTCTGAACAGAAAGGGTTCCCTTTCCTTTCCTTCAGCAGGCGCAGGAGTGCCCCGGGGTGGCTCAGCCCCATGGGGCTGGTGAAGCTGCCCTGACACTGAACACTCACTAAAGGCCCTGCCCTGTGTGCTGAACACAGCAGCAGCAGCCCAGCACTCTGTCACACCTTATTGCTCAGGCCTGGCCTCGCAGCGGTGCTGGGGCTGAGAACAGCTCCCACAAACACAGATGCTCCTGACGCATTCTGAGGGAAAACGTTCAGAGAGGACAGCAGTGCTGTCAGATTTAGTTATTGAATTCAAAATTAACGTTTCCAAAATAATGATTTTAAACTCAAAAGACAGTTTGTCACTTTGGTACCTCTTGGTCCCCGATTTCTGGAACTCTCCTGGATTGGTTGCAATGTTGTTCTGTGCATGTTTCCCACTACTCTGCATAGGTATTAAAGATAGAAGTGAAGGAAGTTTGCAATCACATTCTACTACTTGTTTGCTACAGATTTTTTCCAAAATTTTCCAAGAGAAGAACATAAGCCATATTCTAATTCAATGATGCACACAAAAACTTTGGTTTCCCCATTTAATAGACATTGGCCAGATTTACATCAGACCCAGACATTATTTCTGATTGGTTTTGTGGGTTGGATTTTGTTTATTATGTTACAAACTGAAGTTCAGGGGAACTTGCAACAAGTCCCACAAAGCACAGTGCAACATTTAGAAAGAAAAGTAAATGAAACTGCCAAACACTCAATCATTTTCTGCCGGAACTGGGATATTTTTCCTAAGACATCACTTTGAGGAGGGGGTTAAAATTCAATGAATGAACTCAAGATAGTGGGAACTGCAAGGAAAAATAAGAAATGACAGCCACAACCTTTTCAATTTAAGGGCAGAATATAAGTCTAAGATATTTTTGATAAATTCTGACAAGAAAAAGAAAACAGCATACTTTAAAGTATATTGAAGCAGTGATTTTTAAACAAAGAAAGCAGAACTAGAACATCTTAAATTTTAATCCTTTCTTTACAGGTTACCTAGCCCACTTTTGATTAAGAAAACTGTAGAAAGTTAGTAACAGCCACAAGTTCACACCGAAAGGTGGCACTTGTCAATTTTCCATAGAGTCCTGCTTTACGGGGTGTCTCAAATGCACTGCTCCGATCTTCTATCATAGGTTGCTGACAGCACTTGTGCCAGATTTTAGTCCACTGGTCGCTTTTCACCATATTTCTTTGTAAACTCTTCAGCGTTCTTACAGAATTTTTTACGGTCCTTAGAGTATTCTTCAGCTAGGTCAGCCCGGAGGGGGTGCTCGGGCTGTGGATCATTCACCAGTGCTATGAGGGACTGGATTACTGTCAAAAGAAGTATAAATACCGTCAGACACTTAGATGGTTAATTTTTCAAAATCAAAATGTAAGCAAAATTCCCCTGTAAGGAAAGAGCTTTAACTGCATTTAAATACATCCCATAAATCTCAGGCCTTTTCAAGCGCAGGGCGTGAGTAAGCTGCAGTGATATGCCAAGATTTAGCTCAATGACCTTGAATGAACACCAGAAAATCGTATTTGTAAACAAAATCAACATGAATAGAGACTAAAGTGCACTACAAATTATCTCCCATGCAATTGGCAGCCCATCTAAAATCCTCTCCTATGGCTGAGAATGAATCAAAGCTCTCAGGCAGGTTCACTGAAGGAATTTGGTAAAGATGGAATTTGCACCATGAAGCATTTCCCAACACCTGTCACAGGGATGCAGCTGTGACTGGCCCTCTTCTGGAAACCCTTTTTTCCAGCTTTATTTCCCTGTAAGTCTTACTTTTCCTATGAACAGCAGGAATGTCTTTCCTTTACTCTCAACTTCCCAAGGAAGTGGAGATGTATTGGGCAAACAATGGGGCGAGAGTGGCAAGGTGCTCACAGCAATGCCACCAATGTCCTCGTCACTTTCCAAAGAAAAGACATTCTTCAGGAAATGGAAGTGCACCTGACATTTACACAGCAAACCTCACAGCCCACAGTGCCATTTACTGCTACATTTTTCTCTGGGCAGGAATGCAAGCTCATACAATGATGGTCACTACAGCAGATGTTGGAACACCAGAATGACTTTGTTTGGGGCATTGATTTCAGTCTTTTCCACCCATGAACAAACCTCAAAACAAATACTCAAAGCAATGCTCAAATCTGACATTTATCTCTAAACTGCTAAACAGGAGCATTTCTTACCACAAATCCAAGTTTAAACTGCAACAAACTATCTAAGGAATGCAGAATTGATACCATCTTCCTGCACAGTAACTCACCAGTCCTGGCCTTACAAGTGCCATCACATTGATGAAAACAGCAGAAACCAGCAGAAACACTGAGTTGGCAATCCCTTCTCACCGAGCAAAGCTTGCAAAAACACTACAGAGAAAATGTGTCTTCAATAACCTTAGTAACAGTAAAAAGCCAGGAAAAAATAGGCCTGGCAGAACAGGAGCTGCCTCATTAACTACAGAGTTTTGAAAACTATCCTGCCATTAACAGTTGTTTTTAATATTAAGTATAAATTAACAAAAAGTGTAGCAGTAAGATGCACATTTAGTATGCAAAAGGTAAGTTAGTGATTTGTGATGAACTTAATCACTTCACTTCTCTGACACCTGCGTGAACAAAACCAATCACTTTGATGCTGTACTGATGATGTCACATTATTTCACTGAGAAAAGCTGGGATTGATTTTTCAGTGAAGAAGAAATCTGAAGGAAAAGGAGTAGACATTTAAGCAGGGTTTTAGTAGCATTGTCACAGGTTCATACAATCATGTAGTAG